CACTGATTAAAAACTCAACACCGAGTCAGCAAGATATCTTCAGTGTCTAAAGTGCATACCATGCAAGCCGAGTTATATTGGCTTAGATAGTTCTTAGAGAGTTCTCTTTATTTTTAAACTGGCACACAGGATGTTGAAACTATATAAATGATAACATTTCCCCATTGTGAAGGAAATGGAAGTTCCTCCTAGGAAGTTTTCACTGTGATTGACAACACAGACAATCTGCACACATGCTTCCTGAGCGTGTGTACTGGTGAGTCTCTAGATTAGAGAGAATGGTGGGTTTTAAGGTGGAGTGTCTGTCACTAGGTATTTTTGTCCCATTGCATGTTGGTGGCCCCTGTATACTTAGATTCCTACATTAGGTATGATGACCCCTGTTTGTACAGTCGTTTGTTTTTTGCTGATCTCATGGATGGGAAGTGGTGTTTCAACTCTATGCCCACAGGCTGCATGGTTAGTAAGCACAGAGTATAAGAGAGAGGAATTTCAGTATTCATCAAGAAAGTAGGGTGGGAATACCTGTAGGCGTTTAGGATACTGTACTAGAGCAGCACTGAGAATGAGTGGATGTAGCGGGGTGCACTGACTAGAAATGAGCCTCACACAGAATTGAGTTGCTAGGAAACACATACTATGAAGTTAATACATTGTTAGAGATGGGTGTACACGGTAAAATTGAAAAGGAAAACAATGCTTCTTCATTTAGTTTAGACCACTCTGAGACACTGCTCTCCAACACACAGCATAGTTCTCAGTAGCCTTAGCCTTGTGTACAGCAGATGGTGATGTTATTCCCTTTCTAGTGTTTTTGAAGACATGAGCTCCCAGGATCATGCTCACTTGCCCTCCCCCTCCCCCTCCCCCTGTTCCTCCCCCTCTCCCCCCCCTCCCCTTCTACTGCACACACACATACACATTCAACAGAGTTTTCTGTACTGTTGGTCTTTAGAATGTCAGGACATAAGATGTGTATGTGGACTGTTGTTTGGAGTATGAGGCCTTGTTAGCATGCACTTGGACATTTTGACTACCTTCTTAGTCAGATATAATTCTCTGAGAAAATGTTGAAATCTTTACATTTTTAAAGGTGATACGGGACGGTCGTTGAGATGAGAACCTGAAAAGTGGGAAGAACAGGGCTCTTGGGTTCCGCAGGTCAAGGGCAGCAGTTTCTCCCAATGGCAGGAAATAACCTTACACATTCCTGTGTCGTCTCTACGTTTCCCTGTCTTCCTCCTCCTTCCTGACCTTGAGTCACACTGCTTGAACTGCTCAAGATCTGATGGCTTTCTTTGACATCATCACTGTTAGGGAATAGCCTTGCGGTAAATCTACAGAATTCAGAACAAGTAAGGTGCATGTGGACGACAGGATTCCTGTTCTCTGTCCTCTCCTGTCTAATTTTCCTGCCCCGCCCCTTCTCTCCATTTTATAAATAATTTAAGTTATATTTCTTTCTTGTAACTGTTAGTGTGAAAGTCAACGTTGCCCTTAATTATCATTTTTATTTTAATACCTTTTAAATTTTAAAATGTGTTTGTGTACACATGTACATGTGTACATACATACAGATACATGGCAGAGTGCATGTGTGGTCAGAGAACAACTTCCAGGAGTTAGTTCTTGCCTCCTACCCTGTGGTCTGAGAGGTTGACTTCAGGTCTTCAGGCTTGGTCATAGGCAAGCACCTTTACCAGCTGAGCCATCTTGCCGGGCCCCTAACTATTATCTTAAAGTAAGAGACAGACTGAGTTGCTCCTACACTATTTATTAATTTCACCTCTTCAGAGGATTGGTAGGTTTTGTATAACACCTGAGCTATGTGTCTGTCACCAGTACCCAATTTCAAGTAGTCCCATCACCCCGGAGGAACCTGCTACTGGTTACTGCTCGTCTTCACCCTTGCCTCTGAAACCGCTCAGCTATTTTCTGTCATCGTGGACTTGTCAGGTTTGGATATTTCCTATAAATGGAACAATGACGTTTCTGGCCGTTTTCTCTCTGGTCTTTTTCACTTGCTGTGATGTCTTCAGGATTTATTCACATTGGGTGTCCTGTGTCTAATGGTTCTGTTGTTCACTGCTGTACTCTCTGGGTCCTGTGAAATTAGACTGCTTTCAACACGATTGCCCATGAGTGGATGTGCATTTTGTTTCCTTGGGCGTATTCCCTGTTGTGGAATTTCTGAGTCATGTGGTAGCAGTGTGTTTAACTTTATTTTATGTTATTCTTCATTGTGTGTGTGTACATGTGTGAGTATGTACATGTGAATGTGGGGGCCCACAGATGCTACAGGCATCAAATGCCTCAAAGCCCGAGTTACAAGCACTTACGGGCCTTCTGACTTGGGTGTTGGGAATGAAACTCAGGTCTTCTGCAAGAGCAGTCTGTTCTCTCCCACAGAGCTATCTGACCATCATTCCAGCCTCATATTTAACCTCTTGGGGGGAGGGACCACATAGCTGTTTATAAGACGACCGTACTACTTCCCATCCCACCAGCAGTGTACAGAGTCTCCATTTCTTTTTTTATCCTCAACACTTGCTCTTGTCAGACTTTTGATTATGGGTTGTGCCAGTGGTGAATGACACTGAGCCTCCCTGCTATCTTCCATATCTTTTAAAGAACTGACTGTTCAAACTCTCATTTCATTTTAAAGGTCCACCTCCTTCCTCCCAACCCCTCGCCCCCTGCCCATTGCTGAATTTTAAGAGTGCTTTATATACTTTGGACACTTTTCCCTTATCAAATGTGACTTCCAGAGTGTTTGTTCTCCATTGTGTAGGTTACCTTTGTTCCTGGAGAATGCTGAAGGACAAAAGTTGTACATTTGAATGGTGTTTAATTGACCTCCTTTCTTGTCTTCCATGCTTCTGGTGTTCTAGTGAAGAAACTATTGCTTGCCCAGAGGTACTGAAGGTTTCCTTCATAAGTTTTATAGTTTTAGGTCAATCTAGCTGGAGTTACTTTAGTACATGGCACGGGCTTTTAACTCCTTTTACATGCGGATGGATATCCAGTTGCCTCATCAGCATTTCTTAAAAAGACTATTCTTTCTGCCCTTGACTTTCTTGGCATCCTTTAAAAACATTATTTGGTTATAATTGTGAGGTTTCTGTACACACACACACACACACACACACACACACACTTCTTAGCTACACTTTATTGACCCACATGTCTAGTCTTTGCCCCACCCCATCTTGGAATCCAGAGGTTTTATTTAAATAAATGTAAAAGGGCTGGATGTCCATATAAGGCCCTGGCTTACTTCCCAGCAGCACACACACACACAAAGAAAGGAACGTGGGGGAAGGGTTCATCCTTAAACAGAAGCAGACATGCCTGTCCTTAGGCCAGTGTCACACTCTGCTGATTGCTAAAGCTTTGTAGTGAACTTGGAAATCTTATTGTTCAGCTTTTTTCTTCAAGATTTTTGTTTTTGACATCCATAAACTCTTAAGGCAGTTATCTCTAATACTGACTAGAGTTTTTTGATTTTTGGGTTTTTTTGAGGAGACTATAAATATCTAAGTGTCCAAAGAATTTTACAGGTACAGAAAATAACTTAGAATCGCTAGCTTATGTAAGACCAATTCCGTTTATTTGCTTAACCATTCTTTCAGGTGCCTACCGTGTGTTAGTCATTGTGCTAGATCTTGGGAGGTACGGGATAGGATGGACAAAAGACAATGGTGCTGTATAAGCTTAAATTGACTCTACCTCTTATGGTTTTGAAGGGAATGCAGACTTTGACACTATATGAATACCAAACCAAGCTTTTGAATATAATTATATCTTTGATGTAGATGCCATTAATCGGAAATTGTATTCTTTTCCATGAAGCCCAATCAGTGAAAATTCATCTTCTCTTTAGTATGAATGAAAATCCAAGTGCCTGGAAGAGGATGAGGCTATTTAAGTAGCTACATTGAGTTCTTAGAAATTACAAAGAAATTATGTGCTGCTGTTTGTGCTTTGTGTGTGCACTGTCTCCTAAAGTTTCCTGGAAGGCAGGGACATCATTTGCTTACCTTTCTCATGTCTTCAGTCATTTAACATTAATTTGGAAGTTTTAGCACTCAATATCTGTTGCCTGGATGATCAAGTGGGTCCAGTCAGCCAAAGTGGGTGCTCATGATATGTGTGCTGTGGTGCTGAATTAGTGCCATATCTTCCGTTGGCAAGCACCTTTTTGTTGTTGTTGTTTGTTTTTTTTTTTGAGACAGGGTTTTTCTGTGTAGCCCTGGCTGTCCTGGAACTCACTCTGTAGACCAGGCTAGCCTCGAACTCTCGAACTCAGAAATCCACCTGCCTTTGCCTCCCAAGTGCTGGGATTAAAGGGATTAAAGGCGTGCGCCACCACCGCCTGGCTGGCCTCAGAGATCTTGATTTAACTGTTTGGTATGAAGAGGAGACACACTAAATGTGAATTCTAATAGATAAGGTGTAAAGTGAACTCTGCAAGTAATGTAAGAAACACTAACGGGTATGCATGCTAGGAGTCACTTTGAGCCCAGTTGGTGATTGAGAGGTAAGGGAGTACTGAACAGAAGTGGAACTGCATCTAGGCTAACAGAACTGATAGAGGAACTGACACTTTCCCGGATGAAAGCATTTTTCAACAGGGTGAAACACATGGAAATGTGTGGAACTCTGTTCTCCTGTGTTGTCAGCCTCTGGGGCCGCTCAAACTCCAGTGGGAACAAAGTTAGGACTTACTCTTCTGTGTCTCAGTAGTACTCAGCTTGAGGACACAGAAAAGGAAACAGTTTATCTACATAAGGAGAAAGAAACTACGATTTGTCTGTAGTATGTTTGTGTATATGGCATTGTAGTATTTAGCTGGAGAGAGTGTATAGTAGGCAGGTAGATTATCAAAATGGCAAATTTTGGAAACTGAGGACGAAGTTCATACTTGATTAGTTTGGATGATTTTGATTCTTAACATTTTCTTTTGAAGTTTGATTATTATTATTATTTTTTTGTCTTAGAACGAGCCACTGACCCCGGGTTATCATGGATTCCCAGCAAGGGACAGCCAGGTATGTGTCTATGCTTCTAATTCTATTAGTATGCTCTGAAAGAATGGATTAAGAGAGAAATGGTAACTTCTTCTGAAATTACAGTTTTGAAGGTAGTATAATTTGTTTTACCAATGAATTTGTTTTTAGAGATTTTGAAGTAAGTACATTTCTGTGGGTATTATAGTCATGGGTTTTTTTCTTGTTGTTGTTGGTTTTTTTTGTTTTTGTTTGTTTTTGGTTTTTTGAGACAGGGTTTCTCTGTGTAGCCCTGGCTGTCCTGGAACTCACTCTGTAGACCAGGCTGGCTTCGAACTCAGAAATCTGCCTGCCTCTGCCTCCCAAGTGCTGGGATTAAAGGCGTGGGCCACCACTGCCCGGCCATAGTCATGTTATTTAAAGTATGGGTCTTACAGGAAAAACAATCTCTTAGCAGTATATCTGCTCTGATGCTTTTCATCTCTAGGTTATGAATTTTTAGCCTGATTTTCTTGGTACCTCTTAGGTCTTTTGTTTGTTTGGTCTTTGTTTTGCTTTGATTTTTGTTTTGTTTTTTGTTTGTTTGGTTTTTTGAGGGGGAGCATTTTGAGACAGAGTTTCTCTGTGTAGCCTTGGCTATCTTAGAACTCACTGTGTACACGAGGCTGTACTCTACTCAAAGATCACCTAGCTCTGCCTCCTGAGTGCTAGGGTTAAAGGTGTATGCCACCACCACCCAGCAGACCTCCTAGTTCTTAATACAGGAGTTATTTTTTTAATTTTGATCATGTGACTACTTCTTGCACAGATTTTTTTTGATTCTTTGCAATAATCTGCAGCAAGACAATTCCATTCGTCTCCCTGAAGTGTTCTTAGCCATGTGGGTTTATAAGGGAAGGATTACTTGAGAAAAAGCAGTTTCTGTTGCCTTTGTTGTTGGGTTGTTGGTCCCAAGCTCTTTCGAAGCCTGGGCAGAAGTACTTCCTATAGCCTCAGTACAGCTGGTATATGTTGGGGTCTGGAAACTGCCACACAAACAACCCAGATCCCAGTCTCAATGATCTCAGTCAAACAGGGATAGTTTATTGAATGCCACACCTAAAGACTGATTGATTAGGGCTACAGACTAGACTCGGGAGCTAGCTTCAACCTTGAGCCAGGATCTTATAGATCTTTTAATTCTTGAAATCCACAAACATCTATCCCAAATTATTCCACCAATCAGTGTTTAGGGATAGGGGATTTCCTAGGAGAACATGTCTCTGTTGTACACTAATCCTGCTCCCATTTGTTGGGGTATACAACTATGGCAAGGGTCTTGCCTTGCCTAACATTCATGTCTTAACTTGCCAGCCAAGATGTCAGTTACCTACGTACCTGTCACTTGCTTCCAAGCAGGTGTCAGTTATGAGGGAGGTCTTGGAACTTAAGCTTTACCTGAGCCCCACTCACAATGGAACTTTTATTCCAAATAGCTTCTTATATTGGTACAGGCGTCTCTCTTATGTTGGGGTCTATCCCAGGGGCAGCTTATAAAAGCAAAGACCATGACAGTTTATACATAGGTACAGGGAATGCTACCTGGCAGTTGGTTTGGTGCCAACCTTATTGTGGCTAACTATACAAAGCAGTTCTACCTGACTTCTATTGTGATTGGTTTCCAAGAACACCAAAGCACAGAACATAACTAAATATACAATCAACTTGGGCATGAGAAAGTTTCCTAGTAACAGCACATGACAAAGTTTCCTTATAACATTAGTAAGCACAAAATGGCAGGCTAGACAGGTAACAGTTACCTAGGCCTTAATATTTTGTCTACACGTTAACAGTATACAAAACCTTCAGCCTCAGTATAGCTAGCATGTAAAATCTTGAGCATCTTTATGTTACTTAAAGACTTGAGCAGATGAGGCTGGAACAGTAAGGCAGGACCCATAAGGCCATTCCTTAGAGAAATGATGTCAGTGAGTTTCATCTTGAAAATATCAAGATATTGATATTTTCTAGGATGTTTGAAAGAGTGATTTCTGATACCTTTGAAGACTTTTTCATTGTTCTTTATAGCATTTTTTTTTTTTTTTTTTTTGGTTTTTCAAGACAGGGTTTCTCTGTGTAGCCCTGGCCATCCTGGAACTCACTCTGTAGACCAGGCTGGCCTCGAACTCTGAAATCTGCCTGCCTCTGCCTCCCAAGTGCTGGGATTAAAGGCGTGTGCCACCACCGCCCAGCTATAGTATTGTTTTAAAAAAGCCACCCATGTTCCTGTGGAACACAAGGAATGGCAGTGCTAAGTGAAAGTTTGAGTAGTTCTGGTCTAGAAGGAACTAAATCTCATTAAGAGTGCTGAAGCCGATCTCAGAAGCTAGGATGTAAGCAGTTCTCTGCAGAACTGCCTTCCACATTAAAAGATTTTGCCCAGGACTTTCATTTTTGCTAGGATGGTGTCAGAGTGCCCACAGGTAGGATAGGAAGGACAGAAGAATAGTTGTTCTTCTCAGGGCGCATCTCCCAGTGGACCCTTCTTGTTGAAACAGAAGGTGGGAATTTTAATTGAAAGATAAAGTCACTGGGCTGGAGAGATGGCTCAGAGGTTAAGAGCACTGGCTGGTTTTCCAGAGGTCCTGAGTTCAATTCCCAGCAACCACATGGTGGCTCACAACCATCTGTAATGAGATCTGATGCCCTCTTTTAATGTGTCTGAAGACAGCTACAGTGTACTCACATACATTAAATAATAGGGTCACTGGCCCTAAATCTAAAGAGAATATAGAAGTCATGAATGTTTTTCTTTTTACTGTAGCCCTGCCCTGGAGTTTCTACTGGCTATGGTATTTATGGTGTTTATGACAGTTCTGTATCTTGGCCATACATCAGAAAGAAAATGTTGGTGCCTGGAGGTGAGCCCCTATAGATTCCGACTGAGTAGGTTGCAGATTGGGTGTAGTGGTTCTAATGTTAGAAATCCCTGCAGGTGGTTCTGTCATGCAGAATGAGAACTGTACTGTTAAGGACTGCTTTGTAAGAAGGATTTTTCTCTGTATTACCCTTTGCTTTTTCTCTGTATTACCTTTTGCTAAATAACATATAGGAAGTCACATTCAATCTCCTAGTCTAGTCTTACATAGTAATGCACATAGTTCATTATTTATAAAATTGCCTATCTAAGGATCAGACGGCAGGTTTATTGATGTGTCTGTAGGGAAATAAAATTCCAAATTTAAAGGCTCTGAAGAATACTGCCCAGTTTTGTGTTTCTGTGGGGATTGCAGATCAATGAGGAGCTAAGCAAAAGGACTTAGTAAGAATGTGTTAAAGCTCACTCAGCAGTCTCTGCCCTGCACTCCTCTTTTGCGCTTCTTTGGTAGCAGGGATCTGTTTGTGTTTCTCTGTGCCCATTACTTGTGCTACTGTGCTGTAGGCTGGTACAGACCCTTTGCCATGGGGCAAAGCTGCTGGTTTTACTTGAGGCACACTCCAGTGGTGAAGAAAGGTTTATTTCTGCTTATTTTGTTGGACTTTGTTTTGTACTTTGGCTGGGTCTTTGAATTAGGGATCTTAGAAGAGTGCAAATACTCCAATATTGAACAGCTGCTTGTTGTGCTCGATGGGTACAGAATCCAGGTAAGTGCTGCTAATTAATGCACCTAACCCTGTGAGCTCCCACTCAGGGCCTTGTGACTGAGGAGGCACTGGTCAGTGTGAAACAGGGGACACCTGGCAGTTTGCGCTGGGCAGGAGCTGAACTTGTGATCTTTACAGCTCCCAAGTGTGGTGTTGTCTCAGCAAATCCAGGAGCTTGCGTTGGGGTCGGGTGGTGAGGTGAATTTTAATTGTGTGTTTTTATTTCCTTTCCTTATTCGTTTGGGATTCTGCTTTAAACATATGAGAATCCTTTCCATCCAGGACTTCCATCAGCATCTAATAATGCTCTTTGGCATGTTGTGAAATGCTGTCATCAGTGACTTCACATTTCATCCTCTCTGACTTCTCTTACAGTGGATGATGCAAATGTTCTCTTTGGGATGGTAAGGATGCCGGTAAAATGCCTTCCCGAAGCTGTAGTTCAAGTCAGCACCTAATCAGATCTTGAACGCCTCTTGTGCCCGTGGTCCATTTCTTAAAAATGGAAGTGACTGACATTCACTTGCTCGCTCATGGTTTTACTTCTATTTAGAGGTTTCCTAGATTTTATGATGCTTAGCCCTAGATCTAGTTATGAGGAATCCATGACCACTGTCTCAGTTCATTATCAACTTAGCACATCAACATTTCACCGTGTCTGCAGCATACTTCAGCCTGTTATAAATGATAAAACCCATGAAGAAAAGCCTGTCTACTGATAGAGGTTTCTTTTTTTTTCTTCTTTCTTTTTGGTGGTGGTTTGCTTTTGAGACAGTCTTTCTATGTAGTTCTGGCTGCTCTGGAACTCTCTTTGGTAGACCAGGCTGGCCTAGAATGCACAGAGATCTGCCTGTCCCTCTCAAGTGCTGAGATTAAAGAGAGGTGTGCATCACCATACCTTGCAAGGTACTTTTGTTGCTGTTGTTTTAAGATTTATTTCACATGTATGAGCGTTTTGCCTGCATGTATGTGTGCCTGGTGCCCATGGAGGCCAGAAATGTTTTCTAAACTCCTGCAGCTGGAGTTACAGATGGTTGTTTACTCCCATGTGGGTGCTGAGAATCAAATTAAGTCCTCTGCAATAACAGCCAGTGCTCTTCAGATGGTTATGAGCCACTATGTGGTTGCTGGGAATTGAACTCAGGACTCTGGAAGTGTAGCCAGTGCTCTTAACCTCTGAGCCTTCTCTAACCCACTTTGGGTTTCTTAAGCAAGGTTACCATAGCCTTTTTTCCTGAGCAATCACTGGGATAGCAGTCCATTTTGCTTATAAAGTCCTCACGCACACAATAGTACTTGCCATTGTGATCTTTCTGAAAAAGTGGGGAAGGCAAACGGTGTTTCAGTTTCACAGATGCGGAATCAGCTTTCTAAAAAGCTAAGTATTTATCAAAGCCATGCAGGATTTTAGGCTGGTA